ATGCCCACACATATTCCTGCCCCAATACGCACAGACCTGGATATTCACACACACACTTGGACACCCATGCTTGTCCGCTTGGACACATGCACACGCAGACACTTATACCCCACACGTACCTTCAGACACATTGGGACACTCACCCTTGGGCACTTAATGTCTGAGAGGTTCACCCAGTCACTTGTGCATTTATAACCACTCCTCCAATGTCTGGAAATTTCTCTTGAGCAAGAGATTTGAGTATCTCCTATGGTTTCCAATGCAGGTGGCGTCCCCCAAGTGTTCCTGACAGCGCCATCTGGGACAGTGCAGATCCCTGTTTCTGCAGTTCAGCTTCACCAGGTAGGTGTGGGGGCACCTCTCACCCCATCCCAGATACCTACTTCCTTATCTCGACCTTGGGGGACCCCCTTACCAGCAGCCCTAGCCCAGAGGCCCATCTGTTTTTCTGGGGCGGGGGGTGGGGGCGGGTCAGCCTGAGCTGGCTGGTCAGTCCTCTCCTCCCTCCTCACACACCCCCTCCCTCCAGATGGCTGTGATAGGGCAGCAGGCCGGGAGCAGCAGCAACCTCACCGAGCTACAGGTGGTGAACCTGGATGCCGCCCACAGCACCAAGAGTGAATGATCCGCCCGCCGCCCTGGACAGATGGCCCAAGGGACGGCACCACTTATTTATTGTTGCCTTTTCACGTTTTCTTTACACACACGTTGATGGGGCCGCAGGAGGGAGGCGGGGAGGAGGAGTGGGCAGCCACAGGACTTAGCCCTCTCACTCCAGCCAAAGAAATGGGCCTGCCTGCCCTCCACCCGTCCTCCTTCACCCTCCCCTCCTTCCAGCTCCACCTCCCATTTCAGTTGATGGTGGGGCTGTCCTCCCTCCTCAGACTCCCCTTGCCAGCTTGGCTCGATGTTTGCCATAAGTATTAGCTTACCCAATGGGACCGTGCCCCACCTTCCCACACACAGGCCTTCTGTGGGGCTGGGCACGGTGTCCTCCCCTGAGGAAGCAGTTGGGGCCCTCTCTCCAGCCTCCTTGCTGACCCCAGGTCAGTCCTGTGTCTGCCACAGGCTGGGTCAGAAGAGCCCTGCCCCTGCCCCTCAGGGAGCCAGCTGGGAGATGGGGGCTTCTTTCCTCATGCCGCAGCCCTCTGCCCCTTCAGCTCCTGAGTAGCTGGGCCTGTGCACTGGGCAGGTTCCTGGGACCACCTGCCCTGCCTTGCCGCTCCCCTTGGACCTCCAGGGGCTCCTGGGTTGGAGGGAACCACCAGCGTTCCCTTCTCCCTGTTGTCTTCCCCCCTCTTCTCCCAGCTGCTTTACTTAAAGTTGATTTTGAACTTTTTATTTGAGGAGACGAAGTGAAAACAAATCTATAAATATATATTTTTAAAATATTTAACTTTTTTTTATGGCGTTTTTCTCGTCCCCCTCTCTGCCCAAACTCCCCTTCCCTGGGGAGCCCTTGGGCTCCCCAGAACTGGCTGGGCCCCTGGGGACAGAGCCACCCCATGAGCTCGGGGTCTGCCAGTGTGGGGGGGAGATTCTAGGGTTGCCCGGTCCTGGGTTGTTTCCAGGAGAAAGCCAGGGGAGGGGCCCTCAGGCCATGCCCCAACGGGGTGGGGAGGGTGACCCACAGCTCTGGGCCTCTTTTTGCCCTTTAGGGCTGTTGTTAGGGAGAGGGAAGAGGGAAACCAAATGTGGGGGTTGGGGGTGGGAGGGTATCAGGTAGAGGCAAGAGACTTCATTTGTGCCACACACATGGGCATTGCAGCCTTGTGCTCCCCCAGGCCTGCAGCTGCCTGGGGCCCAAGTTGCAGTGAGCAGGGTGGGGTCTGGGAGGGGGTGAGAGGCAGGAATGGGGGTCAGAAGTGGGAGCAGCTCTTGAGCTGAGTGCAGTGATAGGGGAGCCAGAAATGGGCAGCTCTCCCAGGGAGTGAGCAGCTACTGTAACTTTTTTAAATTAAGACAAAAAGCCTTGAAGAAAATGACTTTATTTTTCTAAGTGTAACCTCAGTATTTATGTAATTTGTACAGGGGCCATGCCCCACCCCCTTTCCCACCTTCAGGTTAGACCTTGAGGGTGGGCCAGCATAGGGGGGAGGGTCTTTTACCCTGTGTCAGAGCCTACCTTCACCACCTGTATCCAGAGTGGGAGCTTCTTCAGAAATGGGGCAGCAGTTGGGGTGGAGTTTTATTAACTCCTACAACTGCCTTCAGTAGGAACAAGCCTGCTTCTGTGATTAGGTGAAGGGGTAGGGGAAGATTTTACGCACAGCCTAGTCATCGAGGGGATGATTTGCCGGTATGTTTTGAGAACTCCCTAACCTCTAACCCTCATTGCTGTCTTGCACCAGTTTGGGGTGCCAAGATGGAAGTCACCTTTCTGGGCTTTCTCCCGGAGATAGCCGGGGCTGATGGGTGGCTTTCATGGCTGGGGCATGGCAAGCCGGGCCAGAGAGTGGGGGAGCTTGGGACTCAGGTCTGTAACTGCCCAGACCCTTTTCTCTGCTCTTGTTTCACTCCACCACCACTCACTCCCCACGCCCCTGCCCACGGGAGGAGACTTGATGAATTCCTCCTCTCCTTCTCAGAAAGACAGACCCAGTGAGTGAATCAGGCAAAGTACTTACAATGTGTGTTGTGTGAGCGTGGCCTTGGGAGAACATGCCTGTGTCAGGGATGAGGTGACATTTATATGTGCAGCGACCCTTGGTGTTTCCCTTCCTCGGTGGCTGTGGGGTGTGGGTGTGTGGGTGCGTGTGCCTGTGCCTGAGTGAATGTGTGTGTGTGTGAATGTGGGGTGTGTATGTCAGTGGTTTCTACTTCCCCTGGGATGCTGACCCAGGAATAGTGGACATGGTCACAGTCCTATGTACAGAGCTTTCTTTTGTATTAAGAAAATACTCTTTCAATAAATGTATCATTTTTGTGCACAGACTGTGGGGTCTTTGGCTCTCTTTTTCTACATAGGGAGTGGGGGAGGTATGAACACACAGCAAGCCCGGCTGCCTGATGAAAAAGGAACTGGTAAGGGGAAGCTTTGGGCTATTGAGCTCTATACGATTTTTTTTTTTTTTTTTTTGACGG